AAAGTAGGACCTGGAATTTAGGTTGTGGACCTTTCAGTTTGGAGCGTCAAAGGTCCTGGACCTTCCAGTACCAAATGTTAATTTGAACCCCTGCTATATAGGAATGGAGAAGAAGCTTATAGATTTTAAGGTCAATAGGTCAATGGTCAAGGTCACTACTAAAAATTAAAAAAAAATGGAAAAATGTTTTTAGGATGGTAGCTTGAACTTCCATTGCTTGATTAGAATGCAACTTATACATTTGGAAGATATATAGTATCAAATAGATAGTTTTGCATTTGATTGAGGCTACAAATAAATAGACACAAAAGTAAAAACTTAAGTTTTAAGAAATCAACTGCCTAAAAACAAATTTACCTTGAGTGTAAAAAAGTGCTACTACTTGATATTCATTATATTGTTAATCATTTTTATATGATGCATGGATTTTTCAAGCATTTCACAGGGTCTGATATTCAGACCCAGTCCCAATGGCAAAACCCTTACATTTTTCCCAATTTCAGGAGGAAAAATTCCCAAACAAGAGTTTTACAGACATCAGTCCGCCGGATTGAAAATCGTTAAAATTATGTTTTCACCTATATTATTCATGACAGGGATGTTCTTTTTATTCAACCGCTAGCTTTATGCCAAATCACAAATAAGTAATGTGTAAAACCGAGTAAAAACATATCCGACTGACATAATGCAACTTCAACAAATGGCCACTGTAAACTGGAAATGTAGATTCTGGATGCGCATAAGGATAATTACAGGTTTGCCCATCAAATACATGTAATAAATTTTTTAAAAATTTGCTGCAGGTGACAAAATATAGCTATTAAATATAAACTCTTGAATTGAAAACCAAAAGATATATAAAAAAGAAAGAAGAATAAGGAAAGGAAAGGAAAATAAAATTACAAATGGCAATCATGTAGTTTCTTACTTTATTTTCACCAGAGATATGTGTATATGTCTCTGTTTTCATAAAAGAGATAATTTCTAATGAACTATACACATCAAAACTCACATCTGGTATATTTGTTAGGTTCCCAATTTTAATGAAAATCCTGTGAAAAATTCCCAAAACTGCCCAGGGTCCTTTTTCCAAAATACACAGAAAAACCGCTGTATTGAAATGTTGATTCATTTTCATTTTATAACAGAATTTATAAATTCACTCTGCTGAAAGATACCAAAGGGAAAGTCGAACTAATAAACTTGACAACACCATGGTTAAAAAAGAAAAGACCAACAGACAAACAGACAAACAACAGTATACAAAACACAACTTACATGACCTAGAAAACTAATGACTGAGCAAAACCAACCCCACCAGAAAGTATTGTTATGATTAGCAACAGCAAAATAGGACTTACACATTGCATCTGGGAGGGAGCTAAGTTAAAAATTTATGTAATCTGGAGATCTTTATATCCCTATTGTCTGGACTAGTCAGGTCCTGTGTTTCAGCGTTAAGACTGCATATTATAACCAAAAAGAAGTGGTGAAATTTCACAGGTAGCCTGCTTTTAATGAAATCCCTGCTGTACATGCAATAGGGCTGCAATACCAAATGAAAAGAAACTTTGCCTTTAATATTGAATATCCAATCGTCAGAATTATATTTTAGTTTTCACTTAAAGATATAAATCAATACACTCATCTAAGTGCAATTGATTAAAGTTCAGCTGAACCAATTTGAAGTGATTGCCAAGTGTTAAATAACCGAAACAATTGTAAGATATATAATTAATTGTAAACACAGTGTTCAGGTAAATAAAGGTCAGAGGATAGAAGTACCATTATAGACTTCTTAAGGTAGTAAGTACCAAACACCTTGACTAAAATTAATTTGGCTCATTTAATTTTCATAATATTTTGACAAAATATTAATTTGACCCTTTGACAAAAATATAAAAATTTCAAAAAACTTGAACCACACACTTTATCGGAAAAATTTCATTGGATATATAGCAGTTTGACAAACACTAACCTTGATTATTGAGAAGCTTAATATTTCCTTAACAATAGAACGTGATTAAAACATTCAGCTGATTTTTACAGAGTTATCTCCCTGTAGTGTTATGTACCACCTTAAGGGAAAGTATGTATCTTCTGTTAAACAGGCAGTTTTAAGATATATAATTTCATTAAATACACAGTGTTCAGTGAGGTTAATAGAGGTCAGTGGACAGAAGTACTGTAATAGACTTCTGAAGAGAGAGTATGAATTTTATGTCAAACAGGCTTGTAAGGTGACCTATAATTGTTAACTTCTACGTCATTATCTGCGACCCAGCGGAGCATTTTATTTTTCATGCACGACTCATAGCAAAGGAAAAGCGCTTTTATAGGTGTTCTTTATGTTTTCATCCCAGAATCTTGACATCTCACCAAATGTTTTTACATAATATAGATTGTACTCTTGATATTCTTATTACAGATTTGGATCTCAATTTCAATTTTGAAAAGTGATCAGTATTTTTTTTTTAACTACAAACGATGTGCACACAGCTTTTATAAACTGCCTGCTTCTTAGTTTGATATTTAAGGAAAACTTTGCTAACCTTTAGTTTTTAGTGCAGGTTTAAAGTTGATGTCTATTTTGTACAAATTACATTTCCACTTTTTTTATTTAAATAAATCTAAATTATAGACCATCTTACCCTGTTAATTAAAATTCTGACATTTAACCATTTGAAATTTTTAAATCGATTTTTATCATTTCTAGCATCCACATAGACTTGATTTAGGAATAGGCTTATCAAAAAAAAATTTGGATTTACTTCCAAAACTGACCTTTAGAAAATGTTAGTACATACTATTGATCATTTTTCATTTAATTTTGATCATGCTGATTAATATGGTTATATCAGCCTCATTCTGATTTTACTTGATTAATTTTTTTTCCCCGTAGATAGGTCTTTAATCATGTTAATCATCAACCTTTCATGCCATTAGATTGAACATCAAATTGCTTTTAATGACTGATAGAACTCTCACTGATTATTAACTGTTCATTAAATTACTAAATACCAGTGACCTTTAATAAGATCCTTGGAATATTTGGCCTTATTATCTTGTGCAATTAGAGGAGCAAACATTATTGACCTTGATGGAATAAATATGCAGTAATTAACAAGATGATAAGGTGACATGTTTAATATTCAACGAACTCGAGCCAGGAGGAGAGGGAATGTGTAGGCCAAGATACAGGACCTTTAAAATCTGATGAAAAGCATTTAAGGATGTTCGCTACTCTGTTTCAAAATAACAAGCTTTTTAAAAGACTTTTATAAATTAATAGTATATAAAATTGGAACTTAAAAAGCAGAAAAAAATTATAGGTCCATGTCCTTGTGTTTGAGATATAATCAATTGAAAATTAGGCGGGGAATGATTTTCTCTAGATTCTTTATACATTTAACATTAGCACCTTTTTCTTTCAAAACCCATGATAAAATAACAAGGGTTTTATAAGATTTTCAAATATGGTTTTTTAAACTATGCGTTTTAAAATTATGAAAAGAAAAGTAGAGGTTAGAGGGCAAAACTTTATTGGCACTACATGGATAAAACTAGAGAATTCTGAATACCTTACAAAAAGTTAAAAACAAGAGGAGCGAACATCCTTAACAAAAATTGTTAAATGGAAATCTTATTGACCTTTACAATGATTAAATTTTTTTTTAAAGATAATAAAAACAACACAGAAGACTTATTTAAAATAATTTACTTATATTTTATGAAAGAATAAAAGTAAAACTCAAAAGATAAGAAAAATGTTTCTGCAATATTTTTCTATCGCTCTATAATTTCTTGTCACTGGTCAATTCAGTTTAAATTCTACCAAGAAATATTTAAAAAAATAAAATTTTATTAAATATATAGCAACTTGTTTTAAGCTGGGCAATGTTGATAACACATATGAAACAGGTTTTTTTAATAGCTCTTGTTAAAGCTTGAATAAAATGTGGATCAGTTAGAAGTGTTTCCAGTATAACCTGATTTCCTACAGAATAGATTTAAATTCTTCAGAACTTTATGATTTATGCATAACAGGGATTTCCCTTGTGAGTAGTTTTGACCTGACTCTTGAAATCCTCCATTATATGAACTGAATATCTCAAAACAGTCATTTGAAACAGTTAAAATGGCCTTTGAGCACAAAGATACTCATAGCATATTTGATTAAAAACTCATATAACATGCATAAAACTAGATAGACATTACATTAGATCCTGTGTGCTTAAAATCCATGAAGATTAACTGATTTTGAATTTTGGGCAGGTATTAACTTCTGAATTCAAAGAATCACTTATAAAGCCAAGTTAGTGCATGTACTCTGATTTAAAGTTTTGTCTATACATATACCTGTTGGTTGATCTTCAATTTCATGATTATTGACACATTGATATATACAAGCTGCTTTATTTCTGTTAAAATATTGGAAAAAAATGCAATCAATATGTTACATGACCTAGGCATCTTAACTGCTTCGTGGATGTTATAATTATTTTACTGATTACAAATATCAGACGCTATCATTCAAATGACTTGAACGGAAATGATTATCCATACTTGGATCTTCGTGGTTTTGTAGATAAGATTTGTATTATAAGCCAGAAAAAATTTCAGATTTGTCATTGACTGATATTCTTATTAAAAAGAATTTTATGCTAACTAGATTTTAATGTTATCATTGGAAAATATTGTGGCACATAATGAGACAGTATTTTAACACTGGAATAGTGTCATATTGAATAAATTCAATGTAAGAATTATTTTAGCACTGGAATATTGCCATATTAAATAACTTAATTGTAAGCAGTATTTGCATGGCACCTATATGGGGATATGCTCTTCTTTGACTGAGGAAAATATGCCATTTCGAAATAAAAAACGCATTCAGAAGAAAACTGTTAGTGTTAGTACTAGATCTAAAAAAACTATGGAAACTCACAAGCAACATAAATATAAGTGTTTCACGGTGAACAATGGCTCTTTATTGACAGGTGGATGTGACGACACATTAAAAGCTCAAGCTGAAAATAGACTCCTGTCGATGATTAACGATGAAGGAGAAAATTATGATTATGATCTGATTGTAATCGGAGGAGGATCAGGCGGACTTGCTGCATCCAAAGTAAGTTTAAGTTTTGTGTTGTCTGGTTGCTGTCTCATTGGCATACATGGAAAAAACATCATTCATATTTACTGATTACTGTAAATTCAGAAATTTTATGCCCCCGCTGTGGCGGAGGGGGCATTAAGTTTTACCCTTGTCCGTCTGTACGTCTGTATGAACGTCTGTCCCTCGTGCGTACATCCCAAAATTGGTTTCTGTTCTTTAACTTAAGTTTGCCTCAACCAAATGTTATGAAACTTATACGTAATGTTTATTACCACAAAACACAGATCAAGTTTGAATTTTGGTGGTGTCACTTTTATTGTTCTAGATTTATGCCCCTTTACAAATGAAAAAAGGGTTGTTTTTCTTTATTCCGTTCTCTAACTTGAGTTTGCTTCAACCAAATGTTATGAAACTTATCCACAATGTTTATTGCAACAAAACACAGATCAAATTTGAATTTTGGTGGTGTCACTTTCACCGTTCTAAAGTTATGCCCGTTTACAAATGGAAAAATTGCTGAAATATTAGTTTTTTGTTGAGCCTGTGACTTTTGTCACAGAAAGCTCGACATAGGGATAGTGATACGGCGACAGCAGTGTTAACAAACTTCTTAAAAGCTTTATATTTTAGATGGTGGAAGACCTGGATGCTTCATACTTTGCAAATAGATGCCTTGTGTTACAAAGTTTCCATCTGTCACATATCCATTGTCCTTGACCTCATTTTCATGGTTCAGTGACTTCTTGAAAAAAAAGTTAAGATTTTTTGTAATGTTAATTTCTCTCTTATTATGAGTAACAGGATAACTATATTTGGTATGTGCATCCCTTGCAAGGTCCTCATGCCCGTCAGACAGTTTTCACTTGACTCGACCTCATTTCATGGATCAGTGAACAAGGTTAAGTTTTTCGTGGTCAAGTCCATATCTCAGATACTATAATCAATAGGTCTAGTATATTTGGTGTATGGAAGGTTTGTAAGGTGTACATGTCTAACTGGCAGGTGTCATTTGACCTTGACCTCATTTTCATGGTTCAGTGGTTATAGTTAAAGGGGCACTAGCTACCAGATATATAAAAAATCTAAAATATGATTTTTTTTTATTCAGTCATTAATGAAAGTGAAATAGAGAAATAATACATCGCTTTTTTCAGCCAATCTGCTTCAATTTTGTCAAAATAGCTAAGAAACATTGATGATGAATTTTTCACTTGCAAGTGAATAATTTGACCCCATTGAATCCGTATATATGTAAACTTCAATTTAACCCCTTAGCTAGAAATGGATAAAGCATGAATCGTGCGTGTTAAGTTATTTAAAGGAAAAGAATGTAAACATTGAAAGTGAAACAAAGGTGCGTGTTAAGTTATTTAAAGAAAAAGAATGTAAACATTGAAAGTGAAACAAAGGTGCGTGTTAAGTTATTTAAAGGAAAAGAATGTAAACATTGAAAGTGAAACAAGCGTAAATCATTTGATTGACTGATTCGATCCACAAAAAATCATTCATATACAGGTAAAAGCGATGATTAACATATATTTTTAATCTTTAAAATGAAATAAAACAGACATAGAAAAATCCAATTGCATGATTTGGATATCTATTTATATTTATATTTATGTTTATATCGCTTATATGGTCATTGGAGGTCGTCAGAGGTGTCAACTCGAAAGTTAATTAGATGGCGTCTAGACTAAAATACACAAGAAACGAAGCTACATATAATTGAGCCCATGTCCTGTAAATTGTTTATTTTAGACTTTTTTTAACTTGGATAAATGTTTTACATTGTTATAAATCAAATATGAGAATTTGAGTCAAATCGGTGAACACGAATTTGACATCTAGTGCCCCTTTAAGTTTTGTGTTTTGGTTTTTTTTTTTTTTATACTGTTTGCAATAGGTCTACTATATTTGGTGTATGGAATGATTGTAAGGTGAACGTGTCCAACTGGCAGGTGTCATCTGACCTTGACCTCATTTTCATGGTTCATTGGTCAAAGTTAAGTTTTGGAGTTTTGGTCTTTTTTTCTAATACTATATGCAATAGGTCAACTATATTTGGTGTATGGAAATATTTTATGATGCACACGTCAGTCTCTCAGGCTTTATTTGACCTTGACCTCATTTTCACAGTTCATTGCTCAGTGTTAAGTTTTTGTGTTTTGGTCTGTTTTTCTTAAACTATAAGCAATAGGTCAACTATATTTTTTGTATAGAAGGATTGTAAGCTGTATATGTCTGTCTGGCAGGTATCATCTGACCTTGACCTCATTTTGTTGGTTCATTGGTTAATGTTAAGTTTTCATGGTTAAGTTTGTTTCTTAGATACTATAAGCAACAGGTCAACTATATTTAATGCATAAGTTAATAGTAAGGTGTACATGACTGCCTGGAATGGTTCTTCTGACTTTGACCTCATTTTCATTGTTCATTGGTCAATGTTTAGTTTTCTTGGTTAAGTCTGTTTCTTAGAAACTATAAGCTATAGGTCAACTATATTTAGTGTATTGAATGATTGTAACGTTGATAGTTGTAGTAAAGCTTTATATTTAGGACTATCAACATAATATCAATGGTTAGTAAAGAAGGCGAGACATTTCAGCGTGTGCACTCTTGTGTTCTCTAACTTTAGTTTGCCTCAACCAAATGTTATGAAACTTATGCACAATGCTAATTACCACAATACACAGATCAAGTTTGAATTTTGTTGGCGTCACTCTTACCGTTCTAGAGTTATGCCCCTTTACAAATCTCAAAATTGCTGAAATATTTGTTTCTGTTCTCTTACTTTAGTTAGCCTCAACCAAATGTTATGAAACTTATGCACAATGCTAATTACCACAAAACACAGATAAAGATTGAATTTTGGTGGCGTCACTTCTACTGTTCTAGAGTTATGCCCTTTTAAAAATGGAAAAATTGCTGAATTTTTCGTTTCTGTTCTCTAATTTAAGTTTACGTTAACTAAATGTTATGAAACTTATAAACAATGCTTATTACCACAAAACTCAGATCAAGTTCCAATTTGGGAAGTGTCACTTTTACAGTTCTTGCATTATGGCCCTTTATAACATTATATGCAAGCAGGGGCATCATCTGTGTCCAATGGACACATTCCCCATTTATTTATGTAAGTGATGGCATTATATAAATTTAGATTTACTGTGGAAATACTTTTATTCATGGGGTACCAATTTTAGTGTTTTTCGTGGAATGATTTATCTACGAATTTAAGTGTCCAACGAAATATAACAACTGTTGTGCAAACCAAGACATGGAAAGATGACTGCATGGATACGAGCCTATAATCGCTATACATTGAATATCTGCAAACTCACTTTGAACTACAATGAACTACTGTAAATTCAGAAATTATTGCGAGGTTTTTATTAATGCGAATAATGCGACTGTGTGTGTATCACAATATTAAGAATTCGCATTCTGAAATCTGATGCATATATCTGTATGCAGCTTTTCCTGAAATCGCAATAATTAATCTCGCATTTATGTCCATTCTTCAAAAATCACAATAATACATGCACGCAATAATTTCTGAATTTACTGTATGTGTACAACTACAGACAGGATTATTTCCATTTAATCTTTAAAAAACCCAAACTGTACAACTTTTACCCTTATAATTTTCAAGAAAAAATGGTTTTGTTCATCGTATCTCTTTATAATTCTCATACGAAAAAAAAAAATCATATTGGGCTTTTTTTATATTTCATAAGAATTATTCTACAATTCAAAGTACATTTGTAACATTTTTATGTAACTGTTTTCTGTCCCAATCAACACATTTGAAGATCGTTAATCTGCAGATCATTCAATCTCGGGTTATTTAGTGTCATCACTTCTGAGTAAACGTGTGCAACAATTAAAATGTTTACTTTGCAATTTCTTTCAATTGAGATAATTTGTAAGCATAGACGAATCAGCTTATTTCCGAACACAATTATTTTTATTAGAAATTTGATGAGTGTTGTAAATGATGATAGACGAACAAGTCAGTGAAAATAAACACCGTATTTTGCAATGATTTATATAAAATCATTATAAAACAAGATATGATTCTTTTCAGGAATCTTCATTTCCGATTGCTTCTAATTCTTCACTCGATTTTTTTCTCTGAAAACTAAAATCCATGAATTTAAGAACCCACGAACATGTAACTTTTGCTCAAACCACGAAAATTTATACCCAAGAATAAAAGTACTTTCACAGTAATGACTGTCACAAGTGGTTAAAATGACATATTTTTTTCCCCGTTCTACTGGGAAATAAATAATTTACCAGACTTTCTCCTTGTCCTCCTGTCAGATAATACTACCTGTAATTGTTTTACCTGTCTTTACTTGAAGTATAAATATAAGGAATAAGAAGATGTGGTATGAATGCCAATGAGACAACTCTCCACAAGAGACCAAATGACACAGAAATTAACAACTATAGGTCACCATACAGCCTTCAACAATGAGTAAAACCCAGATTGCATAGTCAGCTATAAAAGTTGATTATTTGTTTCTGTGTATTGGGCATTTTATTTATACAAAATCTCCTACAGCAGGTTCAGTTTAAGAGTAGAATGAATTTTGCCCTACTGGAATGAGATATTAATGAGTCATAATTGTATATTTAAAAGATTGTTTTAACAATTTTACAAATTTCTATAAAATCTAAATGTTATTAAGTGCTAAACATTGAAACTTCAGAATTTTTTTTTATCATGTGAACTTTTTTTGATCAGATAGACATGATAGATTTTTGGTGTGCCCTTTTGGAAAACATAGACTCTAATATTATTGTGTGCGATTTTGTCCCATGTACATGATGTATATATATTTACTCCATATCCTTTCATTTTCTATCTAATATTTCTACATTTTGTCTATCTTTTAGTTTTTATTGGTTTATACAAAACTTGATAGAATTACTTCAATTTGTTTTTTTCCCTTGACTGGTTATACAAAAACACCATATAATCTCAAAAATTAATTACATGTAACCTTTTCAGCTCTAGATGAATAACACTATATTTCTTAAGTTTTTTGTGTCATTAACAGGAAATTGATTTTTTAAGAACTGTTGGTTATGAAACAGGGTTATTCTAATAAGGAATGTAATTACTAATTCAGGTTCCGTTACTAGAACACTACGTTTCTTAAGTATTTAATCACTATAATTTTCTTGTATAGTCATGTTACGGATTCGTGACTTGTCAATATTATGGAGATATTAGGACTTTCCTCGTTAAAACTAAATGCTATTGAAACACTGTAACATCTTCGTTTGATAGCGGCAATGATTGATTTTTTCAAACATGAAAGTTCCGTTGTTGAATTGTAATTTACCTGTGAATTTTACCTTGAAAGAGAGAAATAATAAAAAACTAGATAATTAGACTTGATTCTGCTGAGATAAATCAATGTTAGTTCATAGAACTTTTTGAATGTGTAGGAAAGATTTTTAAAATTGGCTAATTTATCATGTTGATGGAATAAAATTTGCTGGAACTTTTTTTTTTTATTTATAAATTTTACCTTTTATGAGTTTTTTTAGATTACTTAAGAAGAAAAATTCTTAAATTGAATATGCATAAAGTCATCATGGTTTTTAACAGGAATTTACAAAAGCAGTAAAATACTGGCCTTTTTGTGATCAGTCTGTCATGTTTTGTTATTATGGAATTGATATACAACATATCATAGGAATAACAGAAGAGCTATTAAAATTTAGAAAGAAATAGAAGTAGATTTCTTAGCTGTGATGTTAACTATAGTTGCTAACACCTGAGATCACCCCCAGTTCTTGGTAGGGTTTGTGTTGCTCAGTCTTGTGTACTGTTGTTTGTCTTTTTTCTTTTTTAGCCATGGCGTTGTCAGTTTATTTTTCGACTTATGAGTTTGAATGTCCCTTTGGTATGCTTCACCTCTTTTTTATCCATATCATGTGAACGTGCGTCAAAGTTTGTTTGTCTATGATCTTAATAATTAAGATTGCCAGTTTTCCTGCAGAAGGTTGGTTAATCTCTCCCTACTCCTGCTTCATCACCTACAAAAACTGGTGTGCTGAAAGTGACATTTTACACCAACAATCAATTTTTAAATACTAGAAGATGCCCGCGAAATCACGGTATAATTGGGCAAGTGTTGAAACGAAGAGTGTCAAGGGTGCCTGTGTTTACAGATAAAAAGGGGGAGGGGGAGGATCACTTTGACATGTTCAACGCCCATTTCATTTTTGGACAGTTCTGAACCTGAGTAAAAAGGGTGGATGTCGTTTAATTTAGCAAAATGATGCACTTACAATACAATACCGGATCCTTATAGGCCTAACTGTCCTATTTTCGATCCTTTCTTCTTACTTTCACTTAGATTTTGTGGGCACTACGTCGACTGAGCATGCACGAAAGCATATAAGACAAGGATCAATAACAGTCTCTGAATTTGGATATTTTCTCAAAAATTGGCGTTTTCTGTGGAAAAAAGATTGCTTCAAAGACAAATTTAGGAAGTACAAAACACTACATTTATACTTCATATCACAAATATTTCCGACTTTGTATGGTTTTAGAGGAGTTGCACCCCAATGAAATCGATCTCTTCCTTTAGTAGTATAGATTTGGAGTTTGCTAATTCACTTTTTGAAATTTGAGCAATCTTGGACAGAAAATGTTTCATCCAACAAGATAGAGTTATTGAAGTAAGAATATGGATATCTTGTATATGTAGCTCTTCAGATTAATTAGTTGTAATTATAGATCATATAGACTTGGGAAACATCCTTGTCCTGTGAAGGCTCTTCAGTTAATGAAGCAGCCACACCAGACATACTATATTTGCTGAATTTTGCTTGAATTATTCCTTTTACGTTTGAAAGAGGCTAATCCTGTGTAGGCTCTTTAGTTAATGAAGCAACTACACTATAAAGAATTAAATTGCTGAATTTTTCTTAAATTATTTTTTATACGACCACAAAAATTTTTGCAGTTGTATATTGGTATGACGTTGGCGTCGTCGTTGTCGTCGTTGTCATCGTCGTCATCGTCCGAAGACACATTAGTTTTCGCACTATAACTTTAGTTTAAGTGAATGGATCTCTATGAAATTTTACCATAAGGTTCAATACCACAAAAGGAAGGTTGGGATTGATTTTGGGGGTTATGGTATCAACAGTTAAGGAATTAGGGGCCAAAAAGGGGCCAAAAATAAGCATTTTTGTAACTTCCAGCGATAACTTGTGTGTAAGTGTATGGATCTCTCTGACATTGTACCACAAGGTTCCATATCACAAAGGGAAGGCTGGAATTGATTTTGGGGGTAATTGCCTCAAAATTTTAGGAATTAGGGGCCAAAAAAGGGGCAAAAACAAGCATTTTTCTAGTTTCATGACAATAACTTGTGTGTAAGTGTTTGGATATTTCTGAAATTGTACTACAAGGTTCCATATCACAAAGGGAAAGCTGGAATTGATTTTGGGGGTAATTGCCCGAAACGTTTAGGAATTGGGGGCCAAAAAGGGGCAAAAAATAAGCATTTTTCTAGTTTCCAGACAATAACTTGTGTTCAAGTGTATGGATCTCTCTGAAATTGTACTGCAAGGTACCATACCACAAAGGGAAGGCTGGGATTGATGATGGGGGTAATTGCCTCAATATTTTAGGAATTAGGGGCAAAAAAGGGGCAAAAAACAAGCATTTTTCTAGTTTCAGGACAATAACTTGTGTGTAAGTATATGGATCTTTCTGAAATTGTACTACAAGGTTCCATATCACAAAGGGAAAGCTGGGTTTGAGTTTGGGGGTAATTGCCCTAAAGGTTTAGGAATTTGGGGCCAAAAAGGGGTAAAAAAACACATTTTTCTAGTTTCCAGACAATAACTTGTGTTCAAGTGTATGGATCTCTCTGAAATTGTACTGCAAGGCACCATACCACAAAGGGAAGGCTGGGATTGAGTTTGGGGGTGATGAATGATAAGGGGGATAAAAAAATTGGGGGGGGGATTTTTTTTTTCCCTTTTTTTTCTTTTTTTTCATTTTTTTTTCTTTTAAAATTTTCCAATTTAAGTTGGTTATATCTGATTTATATTTAAAAGCAAATAATAATGATATGGTAGGAGCTACACACCAAACAGGATGTGTAAATTATTATATAATAAGTATTGTGCAATAGCAAGAAATTTTCAATCGTACAGTATTGCACAATAGCAAGAAATCTTCAATTGCACAGTATTGCGCAATAGCAAGAAATCTTCAATTGCACAGTATTGCGCAATAGCAAGAAATATCCAATAGCACAATATTGCGAAATAGCAAGAAATTGTCAATTGTACAGTATTGCGCAATAGCAAGAAATATTCAATTGCACAGTATTGTGCAAAAGAAGATACTTCGTATAAATTGCTTATTTCTTGACCAATTTCAATGGGGTTTTATTCTTGAATTCTTGGGGTTCTTTAATATGCTGAATCTAACCATGTATTAAGTTTTTGGATTTTGGTCCACATTGAGGTCCAAAGGGTCCAAATTTAACTTTGTTTGATTTCATCATAAATTGAATTATTGGGGTTCTTTGATATGCCGAATCTAACCGTGTATTTAGATTTTTGATTATGGGCCCAGTTTTCAAGTTGGTCCAAATCGGGTCTAAAATTAAACTTTGTTTGATTTCAACAAAAATTGAATATATGGGGTTCTTTGATATGCTGAATCTAACCATGTATTTAAATTTTTGATTTTTGGGCCCTGTTATCAACTTTGTCCACATTGAGGTCAAAAGGGTCCAGAATTAAACTTTGTTTGATTTCATCAAAAATTGAATTCTTGGGGTTCTTTGATATGCCGAATCTAACCATGTATTTAGATTTTGGATATTGGACCATAATAGGTGAATGTCCAATTTAAAATTTTTAAGTTCTTAGACCACATTCATTCTGTGTCAGAAACCTATGCTGTGTCAAATATTTAATCACAATCCAAATTCAGAGCTGTATCAAGCTTGAATGTTGTGTCCATACTTGCCCCAACTGTTTAGGGTTCAACCTCTGCGGTCCTATCAAGCTGCGCCCTGCGGAGCATTTTATTTACATTTGAAAGTGGCTAGTTTTTGGTAGAAAATATAAAATATAGACATATATGTTAATCCTTGTAGGAAGCTGCTAGTTTAGGTAGAAAAGTTGCTGTGTTTGATTTTGTTCAACCATCTCCACCAGGCACAACATGGGGTAAGGTTATAATATAATGTGATTGATTCTGTACAACCGTCTCCAACAGGTTCAACATGGGGTAAGGTTATAATATAATGTGATTGATTCTGTACAACCGTCTCCACCAGGTTCAATATGGGGTAAGGTTATAATATAGTGTGATTGATTCTGTACAACCGTCTCCACCAGGTTCAACATGGGGTAAGGTTATGATATAGTGTGATTGATTCTATACAACCGTCTCCACCAGGTTCAACATGGGGTAAGGTTATAATATAGTGTGATTGATTCTGTACAACCGTCTCCACCAGGCACAACATGGGGTAAGGTTATAATATAGTGTGATTGATTCTGTACAACCGTCTCCACCAGGCACAACATGGGGTAAGGTTATAATATAGTGTGATTGATTCTGTACAACCATCTCCACCAGGCACAACATGGGGTAAGGTTATAATATAATGTGATTGATTCTATACAACCGTCTCCACCAGGTTCAACATGGGGTAAGGTTATAATATAGTGTGATTGATTCTGTACAACTGTCTCCACAAGGCACAACATGGGGTAAGGTTATAATATAGTGTGATTGATTCTGTACAACCGTCTCCACCAGGTTCAACATGGGGTAAGGTTATAATATAGTGTGATTGATTCTGTACAACCGTCTCCACCAGGTTCAACACCGGTTAAGGTTATAATATAGTGTGATTGATTCTGTACAACCGTCTCCACCAGGCACAACATGGGTTAAGGTTATAATATAGTGTGATTGATTCTGTACAACCGTCTCCACCAGGCACAACATGAGGTAAGGTTATAATATAGTGTGATTGATTCTGTACAGCCGTCTCCACCAGGCACAACATGGGGTAAGGTTATAATATAGTGTGATTAATTTTGTACAATTGTCTCCACCAGGCACAACATGGGGTAAGGTTATAATATAGTGTGATTGATTCTGTACAACCGTCTCCACCAGGCACAACATGGGGTAAGGTTATAATATAGTGTGATTGATTCTGTTCAACCATCTCCACCAGGTTCAACATGGGGTAAGGTTATAATATAGTGTGATTGATTCTGTACAACCGTCTCCACCAGGTTCAACATGGGGTAAGGTTATAATATAGTGTGATTGATTCTGTACAACCGTCTCCACCAGGTTCAACATGGGGTAAGGTTATAATATTTAAGAAAATATCTAGAACTATCCTATTTTATGGTCCGTTGTAAGTAACAGGGCATTAAGTGTAACTCTTGCCCATCGTTCTGTTTGTCGTCCGTCTGTTACTCTAACTTTGTTTTCCTCATCCAAGTTTTATGAAACTCATACACAATGCTTACATGGCTTACAACCAATACTAACAGACAGAGTCAGAATTTGGTCAGTGAGTCACTTACTGTTCTAGAGTAATACCCCTTTTTAACTTTTTAAAACTGCAAAGCTTGAGCAGGGGCATTCGTGTCCTCAGACACATTCTTCTTTTATTTTCAAATGATTTTTGTTCATATGTTTTTACTGGCTTTATTGTGTCTTTGCATTGCCGTCTTGTTGATGTTTAGCCCACATCTACCTTGGTTCATAAAATGGATAGACAACTTGTATGTAAGACACTCTTGTTTTTATTTGATGACTCTTTATTATGAGGACAGCAATTAGCCACCTTGATGATATTGATAATAACTTCATTATGGACAGAAGTAGCAGAATTTGATTATTTTTGTCAAGCTTAGAAAAAGTTACTGCTATCTTAAATGCAAATTTGATTGGTTGTCTAATGGAAGTGTAGTATGTATTAAAGGAGATGTGGGATAAACCAAAAATGAGACAGCAACCCAATGACAAAAATAGCTTAATGATTTCTCAAGGGCAACAAAGCCTTCAACAATAAACAACACCATACAATACCAACCAAATATAGATTAAAAAAGGAATAAAAATTTGGGTAAAAAAATGATCAAATTAATTTAAATGAGTGAAAATATCATGATACTATGAAACCATGGTTAATTGTTTCTCTGTTACATAGTACATGTAATGCCTTGTCAATAAAGAAAATGAAATCAGTAAATATTTATGTTTCTATTTCAGGTTTAGGAGGGACATGTGTGAATGTTGGCTGTATACCAAAGAAACTAATGCACCAAGCTGCTTTATTAGGTAAATGAATATTGTATTCAGTAACTGTTTCAGGCCACCCTTAAAAATATGTATATTCCCTAACCAACGTTTTTTATTCAAAAAGGGTCGCTTTATTGCAATCATTGTTAGTATACAAAAGTGTATATGAATTTTGTCCTGCTTGGCAGAACCTGTAAGCAATATGTATACTCAAGTAAACATTACAATACTGTAAATTCAGAGATTATAATTTATTGCCAGGTTTTTATTAATGCGAATAATGCGACTGTGTGAGTGTCGTAATAATAAGAACTCTCATTTTGATATCTGATACATATATCTGTATGCAAATTTTCCTGAAATCGCAATAATTATGAAATCGCAATAATTAAACTCACATTTTTGTCCATTCTCCCAAAATCACAATAATAAATGCACGAAATAATTTCTGAATTTACAGTACCCAAAGTCTTTTATTCAAGATATTTTTGAAGAAATTGATTGTGATGTTGCATATCAAGACAACAAATTTGTTTTAAAAAAACACTATATTTTTTTAATCAATACCCTTACATTCTGCATGTTTAGAAGTGTTTTTTTTTTTTAAATGATTTAAAAAATGAAGTTAACAAATTATATACTTTAAATTCTGTTGGAAATTAAAGAGGAAATTATGACAGGATTAAGTTCACAATTATTAATACTTCCATTTAAAGTTTGCATGTATTATGCTACTGTAACATAAAAAGGAATTGCATCAATCAAATTCTCATTAGTGTTAACAATATTTTATTGTTATAATCGTAACATTAACATTACCAATAAGACAGGTTAATAAATTCTTATTATTGGTGTTGACAAAGATTTGCTTTAATACATTGAAAATAAATTCATTACATTCCCAATTGACAGCATTTCATGTTAGCAGAAAAATCACCACAAGCTTAAATTGCAAACTTACATGCTATTGTTAATAGATATAAGAAGATGTGGTATGAGTGCCAATGAGGCAACTCTCCATCCAAGTCACAATTTGTAAAAGTAAACCATTATAGGTCAAAGTATGGCCTTCAACACGGAGCCTTGGCTCACACCAAACAGCAAGCTATAAGAGCCCCAAAAATGACTAGTGTAAAACCATTCAAACAGGAAAACCAACGGTCTAATCTATATAAGAAAAGAGAAACACTTATGAACCACATCAACAAACGACAACCACTGAACATCAGGTTCCTGACTTAGGACTTAAGTTATCTTAGACTTAGAACCTTGTAGCAAAATTTAAATAAATAATTGTTTGCCAACGTTTTAGGTTCAAGTTAATACAGCTTAGTATTATGGGCATTCAAATAGATTGTCAAAACTAGGTTTTGGTAGGTATGGTCAGATTTAAAGGAATTGATTGATTGTTTTTTGGTAGTTGCTTTTTTTTTACAATTTCAAAATTCACATCTTTTTAGATTTTAATTGCATTTGCAGGTCATGGTTTAGAAGATGCTAGACATTTTGGTTGGGAAATTCCAGAAAATGGTAAGTTAATGAAGAAAAATAAAACAGTGCATCTGTTTTTGCCTGAGTTTTAACCCCTTGGAAAATAAAGCATGCATAGTATTGTAAATTATGGGTAGGAATTAAAGTGAATATAAAATCAAACTCATATATTCTTGTCCTATCATTGAAAAAGAAATGAATAGATTGTTTGCTAGTTGTGCTGTAAACAGTCAATATTATCATGATTATGCATGAAATCAAAATTTTGGTTCTGAAGGTCTATTCTGAAATGTGACAGAACAACAAAAATTCCTCATGTTTCTAGACTTGATGGACCAGATTTGATCATAGTATTCATTGTTTTATAAAATTTCCATAATTATACCCCTGCTTTAAAAAATTGCGGGGTATACTGTTTTACCTCTGTCTGTCTGTCCATCCATCAGTCCGTCCTTCCGTCCCATGAATATTTTTCTTCGCATTTTTCTCAGGAACTACATTACAAGGATTTCTGAAATTTGGTTTCAGGGTTTAAATGAGTCAGCTATACCATGTGATGTGTTTTCAGATTCATCACTCAACAACTTCCTGTTTACCGAACACTTACATCATTTTACATATGACATCCAAGTAGTTGAAAATTTTCGTCACATTTATCTCAGGAACTACATAACTTACAAGTATTTTTGAAATTTGGTTTCAGGGTTTATATGAGTCAGCTATACCGTGTGATGGGTTTTCAGATTCATCACTCAACAACTTCCTGTTTACCGAAATATTTGGGCGGGGGTATCATCAGTGAGCAGTAGCTCACAGTTTCACTTGTTTTGAAAGGCTCTATAAATTATGCAGTTTCTATTGCAAATAATGTTTCTTATTAGAGCTCTTCCTTGACAATGCTAATAAGTTAATTTAATAACTATTTATTTAATTGCAGTGAAGCATAGTTGGGATAAAATGAAGAACGCCATTCAGGTAAGAACAGTTTAAACTATTTTTTAATAAGTAAGTAAAACTGACAAATGACGACCACAAATTTTGACATTCAAACTTGGTATGTAGAATTCTTTTTTCTTATTATAAGTACCTCTGTTCTTCAAATTAAGCCTTTCTTGCCCAAATAGGTCTTACAAAACTGGGGAAATCACATTTATTTCTACCATGATCCAATCCTAACTATATCCTGTAGTTCATTTTTGTGTTTCGATGTTTTATTTAAATGTAAAAAAAAAACTTAAAAAATTTAATTACAATATTGTCCTTGAACACATGGAAAGAACTCTTATAATGCAGTGGCTGATCAAAGAAGGGGTGTAGGTGTATCCCCTCTTGGATTGTAAAAAAAAATTGATCTTTCCAAAGATTATTATGATTTTATATCATAAATTTGTCTAAAAAATTTTTGTCTTGCTCCACTCTGAAGTTCTCTTTTTTTCTTGGTCTGTTTGATTTCTTATTGAAGGTTAAAGGTATCGTTTTTTACCTGTATAAGAATGATTATTTTGTGGATCTAATCAGTCAACCAAATAGTTCATCCTTTGTTTCACTTTCAATGTTGACATTCTTTTCCTTTTAATAGCTGAATACTTGAGTAACTCATCTCCAGCCAAGGTTTAAATTACAGGTCACATGAATACAGATTCAATGAGGTCAAATTATTCACTTGCATCAATCAATTCATCAGGGATGTTTTTTAGATAAATTTAACAAAATTGAACCAAACTGGCTGCTAAACCCAAATTATTATTTCACTATTTCACTTTCATTATTGATTGAACAAAAAAAAATAACATTTAATTTTTTATACCCCCACTGTTTTACCTCTGTCTGTCCGTCCGTCCATCCATCCATCCCATGAATATTTTTCGTCACATCTTTCTCAGGAACTACATCTTAAGGATTTCTGAAATTTGGTCTCAGGGTTTATATAAGTCAGCTTTACCGTGTGATGTGTTTTCAGATTCATCACAACAACAAATGCATATTTGGGCAGGGGTATCATCAGTGAGTAGTAGCTCGCAGTTTTACTTGTTATATATCTCTTAGCTTATTTCCCTTTAAAGTTTATAAACAAGAAATGATATTTAAGTCCTAAGCTTACATTCATGACTGCACAAAACAAAATGATAATCAAACCAACTTTCCCTGCCCAATATATGGACATGATGATGTTTAATAGATAATAAAAGGTATGTAAATTTATACTTAGTAATTACATAAGCATTATTGATATAGATAAATATATTTGAACTTTCTATTTTTTGTAGGACCATATAGGATCTCTAAATTGGGGATACAGAGTGCAGCTACGGGAAAAGAAAGTAGATTATCACAATGCATATGCTCAATTTGTTGATAAACACAAAATAAAGGTAAGTTATATGAATAAAAGTAGATGTGGGGTATATGTCAATGAGAAAGCAACCCAAAGATAAATATAACCAAAAGACATTTAGAGATCAACCTGAAGTGCCAATACAATATGTCAAGCTCTCGATCTTTCTGAGTCTATAAAAGGTGATATCTGTTTTTATTGTTAGAAATCATTTGTATGTCTTGCAAAATTCTATTGGGTTGATTTATTATGTTTAAGAAATATATATATATATAAAAGAGGGGGTTTTAAGTGGTTGAAGGATGTAGAATCAGTAAAACCGCTACCCAACTAACAATTTGATAGTCCTCTTTAGGTCATTTTCACAACAATGAATTTATTATATATGAAGTAGACCTGTAATTTTGGTCTTCCCATAATCCTGTTAATTGAACATAAGGTAAAAAAAATATGTAGATAGAAAGAATTTAATTTTATATTCATGAATGGCGTCAATTGCCAGCAATTAGGAATTTGGTTTACTTAAAAAATGAACTAATGAAGAATGAAGGGAAATTGATGTTGTCAGAAAAATATTAATACTTGATATTGCTGTTAAAGAAACAATGTAAAAGTTAACTTAAGATGGGAAAGTGACTTTTGTACTCCCTTAGCTGTTTTAGCTTTAATTGGTTGTATTATGTTTCCTGTCTTTCAGTTATTTTTTTAAGTGTGTCAATTTGTTTTCATGATGCAGTTTTTGTGCTGTCCATCTTTATTGAAAATGTTACATATATAAATCTAATTGTAGGCAGTGAACAAAAAAGGAAAAGAAATAGAAAAGACAGCAAGGCATTTTATTTTGGCTATGGGTGAAAGACCACGATACCCAGATATTCCAGGAGCCAAGGAATATGGCATTACAAGGTAAGGTCACTACAAGATATTGGTAAAACATAAAGTGTGGACAAAATAATCAAGTTTATCTACTCCTGCCACCAATGATATGCACAGCCATATTCACAGTAGCAGGAGATAACTCTTGATCTTGTTTTGGTTATTCGTACAGACATATGATTCTTCCGGCGGGAGTCAAAATCTCCCAATTTTTAGGCCCTCTGCTATCCCTCCCGTTAATACTTCAAATCTTCCATTTGTTTCAAAATTTCAACCCCAAAAAATTTGTCAGTCTCCATTTTTTATTACCATCGGTGTCAACCTTGATTATGTTTTTGTGTCACTGATGAAGGTAATTTTTACCTGTAAATCAAAGAACTTGTATAATTATATTGCTTCACTTGACAGCTTGGGTGTCAAGCATAATATTAATTAACGTCCTTTATCTCAGGCTAACTGATATTATGTAATAAAAGCTTTGTGTATTCGAAAAACACTAAAAGAAATTTCTGGTTACTTCCCTTGTTTTTTCATGTTTTAAAATCCCCTCCTTTAAATAACGTAAATTGATAAAAGAATATAAATGAAATACAAATTGAACAAATAGTTGTAAAAGGATGGTAATTTAATGATTTTAATTGTCTTAGGACAAGTAAGAAATGAGTAGTTTGAAAATTATTTGAGAGATCTATACATCTCTAAATATAGACTTAATAAATGTATTGACTATCTGTAACAATTAATTAATGTTTAGATACGAACCGAAAAATATCGTGCGCCACACTGGCGCCGACATTTGCCACTCTATGCGCCATTTCTGGTCAAAATGCGCAATTGGCACACGGCGCACGACCTTCCCAATCACTGGACTATCTGTAACAATTAATTGATTGTTTATGCTAACTAAATCTGGCTTAAACAACTGTAGCTAGAAGTATGGTATTATGATAATATCTGTGACGGATGGGTAAACTCAATATCTGGACAGGCAGTAAACAATGTCTAATTTGTTTGACTTTGTAATCACAACTCAATATAGTAACATATTACATAACAATAGAATAACGTTTACAAAAGATATAGTGACGTTAACAATAGATAAATGAAAACGGCTTTAAAAGTAGCGTTAACGTTTGACGCGTAAGTTAAACTGTCTCTAAATCACCGACAATATCCACATAAACCTTTATTGAAATTTGAACCGAGGAACACATTAAGTATGCTAAAGACGTGAAGAAAAATCACAAACAAATAGAATAGCTTAGTGGTGACACATATTTCACACGGTAACAAAACAGAGAGAATACATTAATAGTAAAAAAAGGAGAAATATGTAGCATTATCATCAAAATGAACACTGAAAACATTGATAAAGATGTCGATAAAAAATCTCCAGGTATGAGGCCCAAACTCCAGCTGAAAATTTTCAAATCTCCAGTTGTGACTTGACAACTCTGTCACATGTATGTTCATAGAAATTAACTTCAATTGCAATCTGTAGGTTAACGTGTGAACATGAAAGCTCGAATTTTTTAGTTATCAGAAAATTATTTTCAGTTTTGATATGAAAGTAAAAAAAAAATATTTAGTAATTGTGAAGCCTAAATTTCATGCAAAATATAGCAACTTACTTTTTGAAGGAAATAGTTCTTGAGCATGCTTAGAATTTTCACATGAAAGGGTCTGTGTCACAATGGTACCTGTAAAAAAATATATATCTATTACAGTGATGATTTATTTTCCTTGCCTTACTGTCCTGGTAAAACATTGATGGTAGGAGCCTCCTATGTCTCATTGGAATGTGGAGGTTTCCTAAAGGCCATTGGTATGGATGTGACGGTGATGGTTAGATCCATTCTTCTGAGAGGTTTTGATCAGCAGATGGCCGATAAGATTGGCGACTATATGGGGTTACATGGCATCGACTTTGTACGACCATGTGTTCCTACAAAGGTAAGTGGAAGATCAGAAAATGAATCACTTTGTTTAATTAATTAGCAAAAATTTTATTGTTTATGGAGTAATTTTAAAAAAAGGAAATGAAAACTAAATATCTTAAAACAACATTGGAACAGCTATGCAAGTATTCTTGATTACTATACATACATGTAGATATCTAGTTATAAAGCAAAATGCAGCTGACATATTTTGAACTTTAATGAGGTGCATTTTGTCTTTTAAAAGATAAAAAAGCAATTATTTTCAACACTTAATTTGTACAATATTACTTTAGTACATTCCCGAATTAAAATCAATTAATAAATCACAAAAAAAAAAAAAAACAACTATAGAAAGTTATTGGGAAATGTGTGGGTTTAATTTCTTTTATATTGTACATTTTACAAATGAAAATGAAAGAAATTATTTACCTTTTTGAAAAATAGAAAAAAAAGATTATTTAAATTTTATTCACTGAATTTGCAGGATTTTGAATTAAAGTAGAACAAAAACAAGAAAAATGCTTGCAATTTTTAACACACTTAATCTGACATGAAATATGAGTTTGATTGTAGAAGTAAAAGTTAAAAGAACTACAATTTATTGTGTTAAAAGTTCAATTTACCAAAGTGATCAATGAATAAAACAAAAACATTTGAACATCTTCAAGTTTAATTGAATTAAAATTATGTTGAAATGAACAAAACTATTCCAGTTAATTTTCTTATTTGTTATCATGAGATATTCACACTAAATCTATATATAAAGGGAGGTAATAAAAAAATATCATTTAGTTTACTTTCATTCTATTAAAAGTGTATCAGGTTGCCATGCATGCTGTCAGAAATATTTAAGACCTATTTCATATTTTTGTAGAAGTATGAATGAGATTGCCATCCTGATAAATAATTGCAAGGTAAAATGGCCATTCTTAGTTTGATTGGTTTTTTTTTTACCTTTTAAAGTATTTCAAATTTTTAAAAATTAGTCATTATTTTAATAAATCATTTATTGTTCTTTACTTGTAGATAGAAAAATTACAAGATCGGCAAGATGGAAAACCAGGATTGTACAAAGTATATGGGAAATATAATGATGGTACTGAATATGTTGATGAATTCAATACTGTAAGTAAAATAGAATTATTGTCATATCTTGTACTTGCATTTGTGTATGGATGTTTCTCCTTGTGTATGGTTATTTCCCTTTTTGTTCAGGTATTTCTCCTTGTACATGGGTATTTCCCCTTATATACAGGTATTTTTCACTTGCGTATGGGTATTTTCCCTTTTGTATGGATATTCATCCTTGTGTATGTGTATTTCCCCTTGTATACAGATATTTTTCCTTGTGTATGGGTATTTTCCCTTGTGTACAGGTACTTTCCTTTGAGAATTGTATTTTCACACTGATTTCTATTACCCTTTATGTTATTTACACATTCATTTCATTATAGAATCTACTTTCAATTTAGATAGAAATTGTTACATAATATTTTCGTTAAAAAAATTAAAATGGCTTCCCTTATTGATTTGAAGGGAATTGATGGTTGACATTGTCTATTGAAATCATACACAATATTGGGCAGGGTAACCAGATATCTTGTTTAGCCAGATGTTTTATTTTGTATTGAAATATCACAAATGTAGCTTCTTTTGAAGACAATCTGCACTGTTAACAACTATAGTCCCATGCCGCAGACAAGAAAAATTTCATTTGGACTAATAAGTATTTGCCAAACTTTGTTTAGACTCATTAGAAAAATGTAAAAAGATTTTGGAGCAAACTGTGAAGACAGTTCAGCTTTCAACAAATAAAAGAACGTAACCAGGCAACAATAAATACTTGAACTCCAAAGTTATATGTAATATTGAAAAAAGTAAAAGAAAGTCCATGGAAATCCAAACCCATACATGTTGTAAATAAATTAACATACTGGGGATTCATTATGATTTGTGGAATACCAATTTCCCTGGAGCTTCTTGATATAGGTCATGTACGTGAACCACAAATTTAAATGTTCAACTAAGTGCAAAACTTCAATCGGCTTTTATGCAGTCTTTGGCAAAACCACAAATTCAAATATCCATGAAAATAGAATTTATCCTTAATCCATGAAAAATTGGTACTAACTAAAATAATGAATACACAGTATATATACAACCATCACTCTATTTGTAGTTTGTTCTCATAAAATACTTTGGTAAGTTAAAGTGTGTTGAATTTCATGGTATTGTGTTTTGTTTGATGTGTCATTGTTACAGCACACAGGCTAAAGAATATGTAGTGGCTATATTTGTATTGTTGCTTCAAGTTGTTCTTTATCTAGACTGTCCAAGTTTTACCAGTTTAGTCGAAAGATTTATTTTTTCATTTCATTAATTTTGTATTTGTAGGTGATATTTGCCATTGGAAGAGATCCCTGTACACAAAATATAGGATTAGACAAAGTAGGAGTCCAGATGAACAAGTAAGGTTTATATTTAAATGTATATATGCATTTTTTTTTGTATAGAAATTTTCTAAGACCTTGCATTTTGACATGAGGTTTAGATACTGTGACAGGTTTTTATGCCCCCTACGCTAGGCGAAGGGGGCATTAAGTGTTACCCTTGACTGTCCGTCGTTCCGTCCGTCCCATTTTTCGTTTTCACACTCTTAACAAGTTTTCCTCATGCAAATTTTATGAAACTCAAACACAATGCCAAGAACCAAAACTTGCAGACAAAGTTCTAATTTGGCCAGGGAGTCACTTACCATTCTAGAGTTATGCCCCTTTATAAATGGGAAAATTGGAGTTTTTTTTTCATTTTTGCACTCTTTAAGTTTGACTTATGTAAATTTTATGAAACTCGTACACAATGCTAAGAACCAAAACTCGCAGACAGAGTTCAAATTTGGGCAGAAAGTCACTTACTGTTCTAGAGTTATGCCCCTTTAAAACTTGGAAATTGCAAATTTTTCTTGGAAAATTGCAAACCAGAAAAATTGTTACACGAGAAATAAAAACAAAACAGTTTAAACATGAAAATAACACATAGCACAAAAATACCTAAAACTAGAACAATGGAATTCTTTAAAACTAGCAGTGACCTCAAATGCTATCAAAAAGTATTTTCATGTTTTATAAGTAAGCTTGAGCCGGGGCATTCATGTCCTCAGGCACATTTGTCTTTATTTTAAAACCATTTTATGTGGACAATTGTAAAAATAGCAATGTTCATAGATATAGTGCTAGCAAATGTAATATTTTTATACAGAAAAACTTTTACAGTAGAGTACTATCAAAGCTGCAGAATGTTTTTATTCAAAATAAAATTTCATCTACCTGCATGGTCTTGTGGTAGTGTGCTGGCCTTTAGTAGGGTTGGTTGTAGGTTTGATCTCCAGTAGGACCAGATCGAACTTGACATTGGTTTGTGTTGCTTCTCAATGATTCACTCAGCATTTAGTCGGTTTAAAGAACAAAAACCGGTTGGCTTTGAGTAAGAAAAATATGTCCTGATAGGGTGACATGTCTTCCTGTGGACTGTAACTTGTTTAACCAGCACCAAACAAATCTGACAGTGTGTGGTTCTTGTACAAAGCAGGGTTCATATTCATATCACATTAACATCCTGAAAAAGGCATGTAATAGTTGCCACTGGACATTAAATAGCCATTTAATCATCCTCATCACACAATTAGTGTCAGTGCTAAAATTAGCACTTTAATAATAGATGATTTTTACAGTAAATAATTAAGAATTGTTGACTTCTATCCTTTTTCAATAGATTAAAAATTAATCAAATTAAAATTATTGTCTTCGGTTCAACTCTCAAAAGTGGTAGGCTTGTAGAGTTTATTTATTTAGTGGTACATATGGCTTGTGGATTCAAAACTCCATTGTAAAGCCTGCAGATTCTTATATCTCAATTATTTTTTCAGAAATGGATTTGTGATATCAAATGATGCTGACCAAACAAACATCTCAAATATTTATGCAATTGGAGATATACTTGAAGGAAAACCAGAACTGACACCAGTAGCTATACATTCAGGTCGCCTGTTGGCAAGGCGACTGTATAATAATGAAACTTTATTGGTAGGTTACATTGGAAATACTAACTGGCCATTTGTTGGCATTTTGATTATCTTCTGGAAAAGAGATAAGCGAATCTTTATAAATCCGAGGGAGTTAAGAATGGTTATCTTTAAAAAAAGAAAAGAAATGGATATATGGAGATATCTCTGTGGCATTGTTGTATAAGCATGGCTGTTAAACAAAATGGAAGATTCTTTTTTTTTTCAAAGAATAAAATTTTATGATGTAAATTTCAGTATTTAATTTGAACTACTGGGTTTAATGATGTTCGCTACTCTGTTTCAAAATAACAAGTTTTTTAAAAGACTGTTATAAATTGATAGTATACAAATAAAGGAACTAAAAAAGCAGAAAAAATGAAGGGTCCGTGTGCTTGTTTACGAGATATAAGCCATTGAAAATTTAGCGGGAACTAATTCTCTCTAGACTTTTCATACATTTAACATTGGCACCCTATTTCTTTAAAAAATTATGAAAAAATAACAATATTAATAATATTTTATAGCATTTTCAAATATGGCTTTTTAAACTATATGTAATAAAATTATGAAAAGAAAAGTAGGGGTTAGCGGGTGAAATTTTTTAATGGCAGTACATGGATAAAACCAGAGGATTCCGAATAACTGGCAAAAATTCAAAAAAAAGAGGAGCGAACATCCTTAAAGTAAATTGTTTTGTCATTGTAGACTGATTATATAAATGTATGCACCACAGTATTTACCCCTCTAGAATATGGCTGCTGTGGTTACTCAGAGGAGGATGCTGTACAGAAGTTCGGAGAGGATAAAATAGAGGTAGGCATGCTTAAAAATCTGGGAAAAACTTGACATTGAAGCCATTTCAAAGCAATGTATTGAAATAGTGGAACACCACCATCACCACCACCTTGCATTCAAAATATAAAGAAATGACATGATCATGAGATACTAAATAACATTTTTCTAGCCTTAATCCTATGATGTTTTCAAAGGATTTGCTGGCATTTGGATTTCAAGAAATTATCAAAAATCACAAAATGTTTTAATTACAAAATTGCACTTACTGTGGATCTATTTATTTCCAAGGTAAGCAACTTACGTGTATTGAAGGAAAAATTAAATTTTTGTCAGAAGTTGATTACCTTTTTTGGGAAAAAATTATGCTGCAAGCCAAAGACACTTGTATTCTGTTGGAAACTTAAACTTGGGATTCAGCTATACCTGTGAAACTTAGAATCTAATATAAAATGGAAGCAAAAAAGTTAGACCCTAAATAGAAATTAAGATCTGAGATGAATTAAATGTAACCAGATTCTCGATTAGTACACTATCAGCTTGATGAGATACAATGTAGTGGGAATGTTATTTATCTAAGCTTAACCAATACCCACTTTCAACCTGCAAGGGAGGTCAAAATCACTGTCTTTGACAAATATCACCCTATGCTAACCCTTTTTGACAGAACTCACCCAATGTTCACCCCTTTCTTCATTTAAGTTTTTTGCGATTGAATTTGTTATTGCAAAAACAATTCTTAATTGCTTAGTAAAAAATATGCTATCTCAAGAATGTTGTTATAAGTAATTATAACCATGTACAGAGGTTTATCTTATTACAAGATTTTAAATGGAAAAAAAAAATGTCTCTACACATAATTTCCCTCATTAGTGGAGCTTGAAATAGGGAGATCTCCTACTTTGTAGCTCCAAAATTAAATGACAATCCCACATTATTTGATCAGTAACAGCAGGTAGCTGCTGTGAAATTACTGGTTATCATTTAAGAGAAAAAACCAACTGAATTTGAATGAACAATTATTTGCTAAATTTCAGGTTTACCACTCCAATTTTTGGCCTCTGGAATGGACAGTGGCAAAAAGAGAAAATGATGTATGCTATGCAAAGTTGATCTGTCTAATCCCAGAAAAGGTAATATTTTTATGTTTTGTATAAATGGCACGTCAATTACACCAGGGGTTCCAGATTGGATTGTTGTATTGTCTCAAATGAGCACAAACAGTTCTTAAGATTACATTTTCTTGCCTTTGCCAGCCAAATATATTTTTAGAAGTTATTTTGCATTTACTTTTATGTATACATGTACAGTTGTTGAGGGGCATAATGCCCTGTCTAGAAGTTCCATCTCAATGGACTCATGGTAGCATGTTGCCTCGGTTGTGGCAGGGTGTGGGTTAAATCCCATGCTGGGTAAAGCCAAAGAATTTAGAATTGGTTCATGCTACTACTCCACCAAGACCCTCAACTAATCAGCTCTTTGGCAAATTATGTGTCCAAACGGTGAAAAGTTTTCCTGCAGACTTATTTACACCTTGTGAGATAACACTATAAAAATCTGCTTTAGTGGGCAGTTACGTACAAAGCAGGGTATCATCATATAACATTAATATACTATTGACTTGAAGTGAATATGCATGTTATATTTGTTGTTGGATGCATATATGATAAACAGCCATCAATCAAAACTTTTTGGTCATTATGTACACTGATTAATTGATTTTCCAGGAAAAAGTGATAGGATTCCATGTAGTGGGCCCAAATGCTGGAGAAATTACTCAAGGCTTTGGAACTGCAATTAAATTAGGGGCCACCAAAACTGATTTTGATAGGACCATTGGAATACATCCAACATGTGCTGAGGTAAGAATATAAATGTTGTATAACAATATAAGTGTTCATTACAAATGTATCTCAAAAACCTCGTTAAGTAATACCACATAAGAACAAAAGATTTGGTAGTGAAATGGCTAAAAAGTTATGGAGGATCAAATGGGCTAAACAGAATAGCTTAAAATATCTGAGATCAATTTTTTGAGTTACAACTATAGTTTAGTTTATACTAACAGTCAAGTTATTTAAACCACCTTGGTCGTCTTGTGGTAGAGTGATTGTCCAAAGTGCAAGAAGTTGTGGGTTCAATCCCTGGCTGGGCTAAAAAATGACTTTAAAATTGGGATTTGTTGCTTCTACGCCAAGCATGCTACATTTAGGAATAAGAGCAAAGACTGGTCATCCCAGAGTCCAAATAATGTGTCCGGGTAGGGTGACATTTCATTTTCAACACACGAAAACAAGTTTTTAAGTAGCTCTTGATAAAGTTTTTGACAAACTGACCACCTGCAAGAATTTTTACTATAAACATAAAGAGTTGTTTCATGTGTAATTTCTCAATGCTTGTATTTTCAGACTTTTACCACACTGGATGTCACAAAAAGAGGTGGTGGTAGTATAGACACTGCAGGTTGCTGAGGTTAGATCCTGCTGTTGAATAAAATCTCATCCCAATCTTTCTGCTAAATTATAAGACAAAGCGCTGATAGGACTTATATCATTAACAATACTGGACATGTTGAATGTATTACATATATGGAGTTTAGAAATAACTGTGCTAACCAAATTGAAAACAATCTCACTATCTGTTTACATGTAACAATGTCTTTGAGTTTTAGGAAACTATGATAGCGGTAAAAAACTCTGAAAGGCCATCTTACAAAACTCTTGCCAGACTTTAAAAGAAGTGCAAAGACATTATGATATTTCTTAATAAGATAAAGACCACATGTGTTGAGCAGTGTAAATCAGAAGTTCATATATTGAAGACCTGCTGACATGTGTAAAATCTGCAGACAGATATATTATTGTATGTGTTAAAATGTATATTTACCAATGTCTTTCATGACTGTTGTCAGCTGTGGTACATTCCAAAGTAACACAAAAGAGACTCAACACCTCTGTTATACTAACACCATCTTTAGTGTGCAGAATTTTTAGCAATTGTGTGTGGATTTGTTTTCAGGGCTTTTTGTTTATGAGTTATCATTAAACAAGGTTTTAGTCTATTTTTTCCTTGAGATTTCTGTATAAATTTATCATGATATATTTATAGGTCAAGTTGAAGTAATTCAGGAATTTGTGTTTTTAATATTTGTTAAATGATTTTGAATATGGCTCTAATTTTTCAGTTTTACAGAAATTTGCAAGATACCTGTAGATTTTTGTAAACATTTTTCTGAATATCTTTCTTATAAAAGGATGTGATCATTTGAAAATTACTTGATAGAAACCACATATCAATGGTTCTTGAAATAAAACAAGACCGAAAACCTTAAAAAGTTATTGAATATTTGATTTATTTCTGCCAGTTCTGTTACAAATACATATATTAGGAAATTTTAAGGACTTATTCAACTTGACCCTAATTTTGAATGAAAATTAAGATGTAGGTGATATTTTTACATTCAAGTTTTAAAATTTTTTGCCAGATTATCAGCCATTGTCTATAGAAGCAGTATTTGGGAATGAGATCAACAGCAGGAGTTAAGGTCATAAGGGCTACAATATAACTGTGCATTTGTGTAATGCCTGAATGATGGACATGTTTGTAAACCTCAGAGTGAGGCTAGACCTGACCGGAAATGTTATTTGGTAGCTCTTAGTAATTATAAGATATTTGATATTTTTGTTTGCTACTTTATATATCAAGAAGTTCATTTACTGTTTATACAATTTATTGATATCAAGGTAGTTAAACAACAACGTAAATATCTTCAATGGTTTATTTTTTTTAGTGCTAGTTTGTTATTAATATACATGAAGTTAACTTTTGTTCATATTTATATTATTATGATTGTTAAAATTGATAATGTTATTTATTGGCTTCATTAAGATTTGACTACATGCAACCTAATATCTACCCCATCCCAATATGAAAAACAATGAGATTCAAGATTACCAGTTTTACAGCTGATTTATTTGAGTATGTATGAAGAACAATGAAGTTCAGGATTACAAATTTTTACAGCTAATTTATTTGAGTATGTTTGAATAACAAAGAGGTTAATGATTGAGTTTGAATGTTTGTAAAGCGAACCATCAAATCGATATTACCTATGGAAGATTGAATTCATTATCACTAGCTAATCGAATCATGGAACAGGTAACAAAAGATGGACAGGAAAGAAAAACCTGCATAACCAACATGTAACTGTTAAACTACAACCTTCATTTTTTAGCTAAAACACTTGGTAGCTAATAAAGAATTCACCTATCAAACAAGCATACTTAAATGTTATGAGTACACACTCAACTATAACAGCTGTAAATTCAAAACCAAGGTAATATTAATAATAGCCAACTACCATGACAATAACTGGGGTGTAATTAGGTTAGAATATGGTTGAATTGATTATCATTGATTTGAAAATTGATTACATATATTTTCAATGTTGAAGATTTTTACAATTTAAATACATTTTTTTTATTTATATGTTCATGCTTTACCTTACGGAACTATGGCATTAATAGGGATTTTGTTAGATGTTAGAACTGAAAGCTCTGTAGATATAGAAATAGCTAATTTTAGGGAAAAATGAATTACTTCTTCATATTTTTGTAATTTCTTTTTGGTGTAATTTTGATTTTGATGCATTGTCTTAAAACTTTGATTGTTACTGTCCTAGTTTATTTGTAATGATCTGAAAAACTGAAATAAATTAAATTTAAAAGAAATTGTATAGTTATGATTTCATATAAAACCCATTGTTTCCAAGTATATATCTTACATTTAGTGTCATCTTTACCAACGATTTTTTCTGCAAGAAAGATAGTGAAATTGTCATTAGTATCATTTTCAGCTCATTTGACTTATGGCCCATGTAAGATGTTACCGACACATGGGGTTCTTAGCCATTGGCGGTCTTTGTTGACCTCTTTTGAGGAACAACTTGACTAATCTCAACCAAACTTGAGCTGGAAAAAAGTTGAATAACAAAAATACCAAACTCCATGGAAAATTCCCTTTTCAAATGGCAAAATCAAAAGATCAAACGAATGGAAAACAACTGTCACAATCCTGACTTGGTACAGACATTTCCTTATGTAGAAAATGGTGGGTTAAACCGGGTTTTATAACTTGCTAAACCTCTCACTTGTATGGCAGTCGCATAGAATTCCATTATATTGACAACAATGTGTGAGCAAAACAAACAGTAGGTAAAAATGTAAAAAATTTGGGTGCAGGCAGTCAGCATGGTGTTATAATCTTAATCACTATAAAAAATAACTATTGTGTCAACAAAGAAAAACAAAATGGCACATAGGCACTCTTTATGACCCTTAAGGTATCTAGTATAAGGTCTATATTTATTGAACATGGTGGCCATGGCTACAAATAGAACAGGAGAGAAAATAAAATGATATCTGGAGCGCAATCAACAAACATACTTAGAAAGATGAGATCTTATTTCTTTCAATTATCAGACAACTCCTAATTGTCTCGTCTTGACGGAGTCAAAAAGTGAGAAACAGGTATGCTGTTTCTGGCAGCGGCGTCAACAATGTATTAGTTTGTGATTAGGTCAGTTTATTAGGAACCATTATTGATAGGTCAATGATATTTGGTATGTAATTTGTTTTAGCAATGGGCACATCTCATATCCAGTAAGATTATTTGGCCCCTCACCCACAATCATGGTCTATTGACTTTGAAACTTTTGCTTGGTTTACTTGTATTAGTTTGTGATTAGGTCAGACTATGGGGAACCACTAGTGGTAGATCAATGATATTTGGTATGCAGTTTTATACGCATTGGCACATCTCATTTTCATGGAGATAATTTAGCCTCGCCCCCTCAATCATGGTCTATTGTGTTTGAAGCTTTTGCTTAGTTTCGTGTATTAGTTTGTGATTAGGTCAGTTTATGGGGAACCACTAGTGGTAGTTCAATGATATTTGGTATGCAGTAGTATAAGCATAGGCACATCTCATTTCTATAGAAATTATTTGGCCGCGCCCCCTCAGTCATGGTTCATTGGTTGAATATTTGCATAACTAAGATGTGTTATATCTTCATTTCCTATCTATTTTTAGCTCACCTGGACTAAAAGGCCAAGTGAGCTTTTCTCATCACTTGGCGTCTTTCATCCGTCGTCGTTAACTTTTATAAAAATCTTCTCTGAAACTACTGGGCCAAATTTTACCAGACTTGGCCACAATCATCATTGGGGTATTTAGTTTAAAAATGTGTCCGATGATCCCGTCCGCCAATGAAGATGGCCGCCATGGCTAAAAATAGAACATAGGGGTTAAATGTAGATTTTGGCTTATATCTCTGAAACTAAGGCATTTAGAGCAAATCTGACGGGGTAAAATTGTTCATCAGGTCAAGATCTATCTGCCCTGAAATTTTCAGACAAATCAGACAACCCGTTGTTGGGTTGCTGCCCCTGAATTGGTAATTTTAAGGAAATTTTGGTTATTATCTTGAATATTATTATAGATAAGAGTTAAACTGTAAAGAGTAATAATGTTCAGCAAAGTACGATATACAAATAAGTCAACATGACAAAAATGGTCAATTGACCCCTTAAGGAGTTACTGCCCTTTATAGTCAATTTTTAACAATTTTTGATAATTTTTAGTAATCTTTTACAAAAATCTTCTCTTCTGAAACTACAGAGACAAATTTAACCAAACTTGGCCACAATCAGCATTAGTGTATCTAGTTTAAAAAATGTGTCCGATGACCCTGCCTACGAACCAACATGGCCGACATGGCTAAAAATAGAACATAGGGGTAAAATGCAAGTTTTGTCTATTATATTTGAACCGTTATGAATATAGAAAATCTGAAAGGAGCAAACTGTTCAGAATAGTGAGCTCTACCTATTGTCAAAACTGTTAGACAAATTCTTATAGGAGTTATTGCACATTAATGACAAATTTTATCATTTTTTTTTCATTTTTGCCTATTATCATGAAAACTATGATATTTTAATAGAGAGAAACATATTTTTCTCCGTTATGCCTTATACGATTTAAATTATGATAGATAAATAAACACTTTAAATAAAAAAAATGATCAGCAAGGCAAGATCTATTAAAAAGTCAAATTTTGCCGATATAGTTATAAGACTGTCACTCTTCATAGGAGTGATTGCCCTTAAATGAGGATTTTTTTTTACCCTCTTGGGTTTTTTTATGCAAAAACTAAAGAAGATAGAGAGAAACTAAACAGACTGAAAGATAAGTAATACAAGATCAACAAAAAAAGAGATTTTTGTCATGAAGTCTATTCTCGTCTACAATTTTGGAGAGTGTCCTTTGTTTGATATGCACATAGACCAAGGTGAGCGAAACAGGCTCTTTAGTGCCTCTAGTTTTCGGTTTGGAACAGTGCCTCTATTTAAAAAAAAACTTCTATTTAACTGCCTAAAATGTGTATCTTTCCAAGATGATCTTAGAACCGTTGACTTTATCATTAGAACTTTAAAGGATATAAAATCCACCTACCACACATTGGACGTCTTGCTCATTCGAATCCATACTTAGGAATATTGAGTTATAATCGAACCCCACACCATCCCACCTTTATGGCAACCGTGAACGTCATATTGGTTAAAACATCTGGAAACTTATTCATGTTAATGTTTTTACATCATAATTTAATTGTTTAGTATTATTTCACAGATTGCACGCAAATCAAACCCTTTTTTATCGGTGCTTGCCTGAATATATTTCGTGGGTAACTATATCTACAGGTAACCATAACAAATAATATTATTGTCACCTGCAATTTCCGTATGAAATCGGGTACCTGTCCGGAAATACACTTCGGCAATTTATAGTCTCGGAAGTAACAATAATTATTTCTCATTGTTGCTTTTTGCGGGTAATCGTAGCCGTGCCTTTCTTAATTTGGTCAGATTTTTAGATACGAAAAGTAATAACTATTATCTAACCTCCTATACATTTCTAGGAATATGATTGGTTAAAAGCTTCCGCGTGGAGACCGTGTATATTCCATATCAGGTTAGTAGGGAGGCGGGGCTTTTTTCAATACACGGTTAGTAGTGGTGTTACGTCCCTTTATAGAAACAAAACAGTACTGAGAAAAAATCTTAATGGTTTCAATAGACAAAGAAATTGATGATGAAGATTGAAATAAATTCATAAAACACATTTAAAGCTATATATGACAAGTTGTTATTGTTGGTATCTGTTTTTGTATGATCAATGGAAGTAGTTTCTTAATGCTAACGGTATTGAAGAATTGCTCATTTTGATAGGTCAATAGACTAAGTCTAAATATCACACGTTAAGATAGTCGGTAAGATAAATTCGTTACATAGTGTCGGGGTCGCTCTCACCCCATATGGAATTTACTGACCCCATATATACCGTATTAAGTCACTAGCACACTATGTAATTAATAGTGTGTAGATCAACTAAATATGTAGTCATATTGACTTCTTTTTTTCAGAACTCTTTTAAACATCCTATAAACATATAAACCTGTATTACCAAACGACATGATAATAGGTTAATAAATACAAGAGAGTTAAACTAAGAACATAGCATAAATTAAGCACAAAATGCAGCAGAGTACCCAATTGTTTGCTACTAACCAAGATCTATCCTGACGTCAAGAAATAAAAAATAAAATCGTAAGTCATTTATTGTATTTTCTAAGTTCTTACGTAATTATTTTCATTAAAAATTTAATGTAGGACATAGAGGCGTAAATTGAATCGCAGAATATCATTATTTTGTGTTTTTTCAAAAAGTATGTCAATGTATGATCTTAGTCGCGTAGTACCAGATTTCTAAGTTCTTACGTAAAACTAACGAAAAGATAAAAATATATGCTAGAGAGGTAATTTTTTTTTTAGATACTTCTAAATAACCCTACATGCATCATTGGACCAAGTTAAATGCTTGCCAGTAGATCAGGAAATAACAAGTTACACCCATTCTAAATTTGTTCGTATGAACTGCCCCAACAGGAACACTAGGCGCGATACTCGTTACAGGCACTTTTGTATGAAGTTACAGGGTTGAACCGGTCTTTTAGCACTTAACGTTCCATTTGTATGATTATCATTCTTGTTCAAAATGATGCGTGGCTGTGTATCAGAACAGCTAATAGGACGTCGCGCGCGGTGTAGTGTTTCATCCTACACAACAAAGCGGACACCCGTACGCAAGGAGAGCTGTATTATACATAATTATATTGTGCGACCAACTTACAGGATCTGCTTACCCTTCTGGAGAACCTGAGACCACCCCAGGGGTTCATGTTGCTTAGTCTTTAGTTTTCTATATTGTTGTTTTGTGTGCTGTTGTGTGTCTGTTTGTCTTTTTTCTTTTTTAGCCATGGCGTTGTCAGTTTATTTTCGATTTATGAGTTTGAATACCCCTCTGGTATCTTTCGCCCCTCTTTTACACATGAAATAATTGGACAGTAATGTATGCTAGCAAAAATTAGCCAACAAAATACACAAATCAATAATAAAATTTAACAAGATTTATTATTTAATTTTACAAGAAATATTATATAAATTGAAATGTCAAATTTACTGTTAAAATATATGTCCGGTCCTTTGTCTTTTCTTTATCCGGAATTCATCTCTTCACTGTTACGGGAATCCAAACAGAATATTATGTCCAATAAGTCACAATCTAGTATGATGTACGTAAATAAAAATGTCAATGTAACAACTCCAGAGAACTTCTGAGAATGATAATGTCTAATCTCTCCCATTTCAGTTTCTGTATATATAGCTGTTACGGAAACCTCTAGAGCACTGTAGAAGGGAAACTCCTAGAAAATTGTAGAACGGAAACTTCTAGAATACGGTAGAAGTTAACATTACACATCATAGATTATGATCATTCTGGAATCATTATGTAAGTCAAATAGAACGTTCTAATCATTCCACCAGTATCTATGATTGTTCCAGTGATTTCTAAACTTCACAGTTATAACAATATTTGTAAACAACTATAAGACCAAACAAAACAAATTAGGACAAGCTTAATAAACATAATAATTACAATATCATAACAATGTGGAGCAGGATCCTTTTACACTTCCAAAGTACGCCACCATTTTTGATGGGGTTCGTGTTGCTCAATCTTTACTTTTCTATGTTGTGTTTTGACGACTTGTTAATCTTTTCTTTTTTTGTGCGATGGCGCCAGTTTCTCTTCGAATTATGAGTTTTTTGTGCCCCCTTCGTATCTTCCGCCTCTATGTACTTGGTTTCCATACAATTCATGGCATTAGTCAAGAATCTTTCAAAGTAAAGACACATTATATAAAATGGAAGCTGACTACGAAGTCTAAAATCGATGCACACAATGTCAGTCAACAAAAAAATACAATGCGAGTCAAAGCATAGGACAATTGTAAATGACCCGTTTAGGTAGCGTCTTTTTGTTCAGTTTGAAATAATCTAATATTTACATAGAAAAGTTTGTTTAACTTTTATTTTGTTATTAACGATATACAACAAGCCTTAGAAATTACACAATATGTATACACTTTACACAAATGACCTGTTGAATATTTCGTATAGAACCAGGTTCATTTTCAAATTTATTTAGCATTCAATTTCCTTATCTACATATAATTGTTGGGTTAAACTTTCATCTTGTTTTGAACAATATACAATTTACAATATACAGAAAGCCGTAAAACATACAAACTGACATAAAAGTACAGGAACATATTTAAACGCTATCTAATGAAAGTTTCGTGCAACAAAACGTTTATAGAATTTAATTTCGCTATATACACAGATTTTTTATCTTTCTTTTGTTTTGAACAATGAACAGGAAGCCATAAAAATACAAAAGACATAATATATATGTAAACACTTGATCTCATGAAAGTTTCATACAAGAACATGTTAATTTTCAAAGCTATTTAGCATTTAATTTCCTTATCTGCGTAAAATTGTTGGGTTTAACTTTCATTTTGTTTTGAACAATACAGACATGCGTCAACGATAGAAGCTTATGTAAATCAGTTGGAAAAAAAAATGCACAAGTGACCTGTTAAACATTTTGTATAGAACAAGGTTAATCTTCAAATTGATTTCTCATTCAATTTCCTTATTTGACTAAAACAATTGCGACACGCATATTCAATTTGACTTTGAAAAATAAAATTTCCTTTCATAAAATTAATTTAATTGTGAAATTCGAATTCAGAACGATGTTTTATTTAATGTTTTATGTACGGTGCCAATAGTGCTTCAATGCACTTTTGAGCAAATTTTCAAAACAGCCCCAATTCAAATTAAATTTAAAGAAACACTGAAAAAACTATTTCCAACAATTTTTCTTTTTGAGAAATATTCAAGTTGACAATTCCTGTTTCAAATTCTCCCAAAACACTGTATCGCCATATTCGTCATTCGGAAACTCTATGTACGATTTTGATTGTACGAGTTCCAATAAAATCAGAGGAAGAGTCTTGGTTGGAATTTGTTCAAGAAAGATTAAATATACAATGTTTTCTCCATTTCGTGAGTAAATACTCTCCATTCGCGCCATGTTAAATTCAAACATGCACCAGTACGAGTTTAGGAAATTGTGACTGATGATGCAAACTGTCTTACGACTCCTGTGTATGGCATCAGTAATGTTGGCAGCGATGTCTTTTCCAACAAGAAAATCGCGTTTATGAGCGCAAACCCGAAACTCTCCATCTCTTTCAACATGTGTAATAAATTTGTTATGTACAAACAACTGGTCTTCGTCAGCATATGAAACAAATACATCAAAATCGTAAGAAAGATCGTTTTTGAATATGCTCGGAGTTTTTTTATATTTTAATTTTGCCATGAAGTAAAGATATCTAAGCTTCCATCGATATCTATATACAATGCCAGTGGTTACCGTTAAAACGGAAAGAACCAACGCCAAACAAATACCTAATATCAAACTAAGATACGAAGAACATTCTTTTTCGAGTATTTGTTCAAGGTCTTTCGGATGTGCCAGAGAAATTTTAGTAAGATTTGACAGCTGACAGGAATAAGATGTTAACCCTTTAAAACGAATCTCTGTTGCTGCCATCCACCTTATAAAGTTAATGTTGCTACATACACATTGAATTGGATTCTCGCTTAAGTCTACTGTTAGATTTGTACTGTATTTTGCAACTGTCTCAAGATTGGCTGTTGCATCATCATCCAAAAATCGTATCATATTGTTTGAGATATCCAACAGAGTTAGTTTTCTCATATGGTCAATTTTAAATTGCATGTTTTCTAGCACATTTCTTTTTAAATGTATTTCTTTTATAGATTGAATAGACTCAAAAATCAAATATGGCAATTTTGGTATTCTGTTGTCTGACAAGTCAATGATTTCTAGTTTTTCCAAATGTTTGAAAATCTCTCCTTTTTCATCATTTGGCAAAACAAATCCTAACAAATTATTCTGGAGCAGAAGACTCTTGATATTTGGAGTTCCTGTAAAAAATACGTTAGAGATGTTCGAACAGAAATTGTTTGACAAATTAAACTCTTGTAAATTATACAAACCGAGTATTGGACCTTTCAAAGAATAGAAAACGTTGAAGGAAAAATCTACCTTTTCCAGTACATTATAACTGAATCTAAGCTTTGGAATCTCAAACTTCGTTGAACTAGCCGTGTAATACAAAACAGTTAGATTTTCAGGTAGATTAATTGTGCTAAAGTAGTTTATTTTTAAACCAGCGTTATATATCCTTATTTTCCTAGACCATGTTGAAACCTGTTGTGCGCCTACAACATTTTTATACTCATATAGAGTTCGTTCAACATCCGTTTCTTTCATATCAGACATGCAGAAATCTTCATCACCTGGTGGGTGAGACATACCTGTATTTGAAACATTGATAATCGTTGCTGATAACTGTCGAAACTCGAACATATATAGTCCGTATGAAAGCTGATTGTCACCAATCGAAATTTTTTGTATTGTTTTTGGCAACAGACTTATTGCCCCTGTTTGTATTAATTGAATGCGATTGCTGTCAACATATATTTCTCTTAGTTTGGTATGCCTAAGGGGTGCAAAATCCTCCATCCTCAAAATCTGATTCATGGAAAATGTCGGAACTAACTTTTGAAATTTGAAAATTTCAATTGATGTGTTTGATAAATCATTGGTTACATTTCCTAGTCCTCGAAATCCCAGCCGCGTGTTATAAGATATGTCCAAAAAATGAAGATGTTGCATATGTGCGAATGTCCCTTTCCATATGCTGTACAAGCTGTTGTTTGACACATCTAAATAACGTAACGTTTTGATTCCTTGGAAAGTGTTATTATCAATTTTTTTAAGCTGGCATGATGAAGACGATAAATCCAAATCGGTCAGAAATCGTAGTCCTTTTAACTGCTGACCGAACGTCATCCCGTTTGTAAAAGTTGCATTTAAAATTTCAAGACTGTGAACCAAAGATATGTCTGGGAATATAGTAAATGAATTATTCCTTAAGTTCAGGTGTCGTAGATTTTTAAGGTGTTTAAAGCATACTTTTGGCAGTTCTTGATTGTCTTTCCCGAGTTGGTTGTATTGTAAATTCAAGCGCAATAAGTTGTTCAGTCCTTTAAAAGAATTAGGCATCAGTTTAGCAAGAATGTTATATGAAAAATCCAAGTCTTCAAGATCATTGTGACTAGAGAAGATTCCTTCTTGTATATATTCTATCTTATTTTGCGCTAAGATGAGTGTTTTTGTTGATTTAGGAAACGTCGGAATATGAGATAAATTCCTTCCCGAGCAGTCAACTCGGTACTTTTTATGAGTGCTACATCTAGTATTCCTCTTTGATTTACTGACTCCAGATACTTCAAGATGGAGGCAGAAGGTCGACATAACCAACCCAATAATCATTAAAGAAGTCCAAAGCATGACGTCACTGTAAGAAAAAATTAAAGAGGCTAAATAATATATGTAGAAATTATTTAATATTTTTATTTTAGTATTTGAAAAGTGTTCAGCGTCCTTTCTAACTCGCACGGGTCATGTTTTTGTTGTTGCTAATTTACAAAGAAACAGTCATACCGAAGGCATAAGGTAGTACCAAGACACTTAAGTTTTACTGAGTTCAAATGGAATATTCTTCATTTTTTGTTAGTATTTAGATGAAACAGTAGATAACCGATATTTAATTCTCCAAAATCTATTTAAAAGATATAGTTCAAAGTAAACATATAAAATGAGAGAATCGCATTAACTCAAAGCGAGTCCGTGATTAATATAGTAAGCGTCTCTGTTATGTATGCGTTACCCGCCACACTCAGACAACATTCACAATCAGGAATAGGTCATAATACATAAATTTACAAGTCAGACGACCATTCTGGTATCTAAAGAACTAAGACCACCAGATCATGTCGCAAATGAGTTGAGACACGAACATATCGTATCAATCAGCGTTATTTTAAATCTATGTAGAGTCGATTAGTATAAAATCTCAGTAGTTCTTCATCATAATTGTGGTACGACTATATCTGTGAAAACTCGAACGAATAACACATTTTCAATATCTAACCTCTTTTTATAAACATGATAAATACATATACATAAAAAAAATTACCTAAATCTTGAGAGGTTGCAAGAAAATTGGTAAAAATACTGTATGTTATTACTAAATAGATAGCATAATTAACACTATATACATACATACGTGGACGATGTACCTCTATTAACGAATATGCTATGAAATATGAAAAAAGGTGTTCAAAATTGATGGGACCTTTCAATCCATTGTTAAAATTAATATTTTCCTTGTAATTGTTCCCGTTTACATTTGAAATGCGATTAAAATACCATAGATAATGATCTTCCATGGTGATACAAATAGTTTCGATTTCATAATGTTTCTTTTTGATTAGCAAACCTTTATAAATTCGAATAACATGATATTCATTCGTTAAAAAATAAATTAAAGAAAACAAAATGGTGAGAACAGCAGGTTAAATTTTTGGCGACCAATTTGTTTACAATACTTCCATGTGAATAAACACCTCATGTACCAACCTCAATGCGTGTCTCTACCAGGTGTTAACCTCAATTGAAAATGCCAAATTCTGCGTATATATGTATTGCTGGGCAGAAAAGATTAAATTAATCACTTGAAAATGTCAATCCTGCGTACTTGTGTATGAAGATAAAACAGGGGAAACCAGGGAAAAATATCAATAACAATTCTTTCTCATAACTGTGCACATATATCAGAATTCGTAATTACACGCGCGAAACACACAGGTGCAACATATGGAGCAGGATCTGCTAATAGTTGGGGGACAAATGAGATAACCTCTGATTTTTAGTTAGATTCGAACATGTATTGATCAGTCTTTAATTTTCTATTTAGTGTTTTGTAGAATTTATTTGTCTTTACGTCGTTCTTCGATTTTCGCCATGGCGTTGTGAAGTCATCTTCAACTATTAAGTGTGAGTATTCATTTGGTATCTACCGTCGCTTTTTTAAGGACTTTTGTGTGTTGAGCACAACTCTGTTCATGAAGTCGGTATTGTGCCAACATGCATGAGCGTAGGGTAGTTATCTAGATAATTAAAAGCCATACGATAGAGCAGAGGGTATACTACTATTGATACCATTGGGACATTGACATTGGCCATCTAAAATCATGTGACGGTTGTCAGATGTTTGTTTGAAGTTGTCAATATTATAGAAAAGGTCAAGATAAGAAGCAGTCATTCTTGATTTGGTAGTATTCCTTATCCCTAGCTCACTGGGATATAAAACATGTAAGCCCTAACTGAAATTTAGGTTATAGAATGACAGGACATCTTGATATATCTAAACTTCAAACTATAGAATAGGGCAACATGGTTTTCTTTTAATCTTTGAGAAGGTTCTGTATTTCCAATTGCAATAAGAACTGTAAACACCGTCATGGTATGTTGACTTATACATCATATGTATCAACTTTTATAACGAACAATTTCCAAAATTTCATCCATCGAATGAACAAAAGTCACTATCATCGATTTCGAGTTAATTTCATCTTTATACCTATCAACAGTGCTAAACCACCGCGATTAATTGTTATAGAAAACAACTGACCCACTTCTGCTTTTGAGAGAAAAAACAACAACAAAGGATTAAACTTAATGTATGCTTCTTTGAAATGTGAAAGTTCATCTCAATTTTGTCGGATTCCAATTTCCTAACTTTACAACTATTTTGACTCTTATGATCTCTCATTTAAAGGGGCACTAGCCGTCAAATTCATGTTCACCGATTTGACTCAAATTCTCATATTTGATTTATAACAATGTAAAATATTTATCCAAATTATAAAAAGTCTAAAATAAACAATATACCGGACATGGGCTCGATAATATGTAGCTTCGTTTCGTGTGTATTTTAGTCTAGACGCCATCTAATTAACTGTCTAGTTGACCTCCGAAAACATCCGATTGCCATATAAGCGATATAAAGATAAATATAGATATAAATAGATATCAGACTCGTGCATTTGGGTTTTTCTGGGTCTGTTTAATTTCAAGTTATAGATTAAAAATATATGCTAATCATTGTTTTATCTGTATAAGAATGCATATGATTTTTTGTGGATCGAATCAGTCAATCAAATGATTTACCTTTGTTTCACTTTCAATGTTGACATTCTTTTCCTTTAAATAATTGAACACGCACAATGCATGCGGTATCCATCTCTAGCTAAGGGGTTAAATTGAGTTCACATGAATACGGATTCAATGAGATCCAATTATTCACTTGCAAGTGAATAATTCATCATCAATGTTTCTTAGCCTGTTTTGACAAAATTGAACCATACTGGCTTCTAAAAGTGGTATATTATTTCACTATTTCAATTTCATTAATGAGTGAACAAAAAAAATCATATTTTATATTTTTAACATATCTCGTAGCTAGTGCCCCTTTAAAACAATTATTAGGAAGACTATGCATTCAGTCCAAACAGGGACCGGATACAACTTTCCGCAAATTGTTTTAGTTAATGAGGGTTTTCGAATATTCACTAAAGCATTGTGTGTTATGTTTGAATAAAAAAAATATAATTGAGTGCAGCCTTTGAAAAACAAGTCAAACTGCATGCCATTCACGATCTACATTTTTGTCAAAATTGCTAGCTAAACGGTAAAATAAAAAAAAATGCAACATACGTTAACTTTCTAGTAAAAGAAAATCCTTTATATTATCAAAATTTTCATAAATGTACTGCTTTCAAATTATTGTCTTCGTACACTAATTCGTTGATATTTTCCCATGTGCAGTGACCTTAACTACGCAACCTCTCCTTTGAACCTCGGCCACCGCAAAGCGCAAGTGCGAGGGGAAAACCGTGATAAATGAATGCAAACAAACGTGCACTGGATGGTAAATAGTTAATAACTGATTCTTAAATCGGTTATATGATAAAATATAGATATTTCAATAGCTATATACATACGTGTGCCTCGAAGCTCAGATAACGGATATGTACTAATACATATTATTAAAAACGAGCGTTTTAATTCATCGGATGAACGATCCTTTGTTAGTATTTTCTTGTAACTATTTCCGCAAAAATCTGGAACATAATACAATTTAGTTTCGATTTCAATGTAATATTGAAATTTCACAAAGTGAACGTTCAATGCTTATTGTACCATCAAGTTCCTATAATCAATTAAAGTATATTAGGCTTTTGAGATCACATGTACAATTAGATTGATTGATTGATTGATTGCTGGTGTTTAACTCCACTTTCAGTACTATTGGCTACATCGTGGCGGTAACTTTTTATTGGTACAGGAGTGCCCGGAGAAAACCACCGACTTCGGCAGAAAAACTGACAATTCTATTCTATTGACATACAAATCAAACGCACCTGTCATATGCGGTGTTTGAACTCACAACCCCAGTGTTGACAGGCTAGTGATTCAGTGTAGATGAACTTCTTAGACCACTCGACCACCGATGCCCCTGTAAATTAGTGTCTGAGGTGACCATTAAAGTCTTAAATTTACTCTTTAGTATTCCATATGTCTCCTAATTATGAACAAAAAAGTGAGCAGGCAGCCAAAGAACTTCCGGTAGGAGTTTAGTTTACAAATGACAAAGAACATTGTTCCCGAACTAGGTCTTTAATGAAAAAACTGAAATATCATACCGCCATTTTGGGTTTGATCATGTGATTTTTTATTTTTTATTTTAAAGCGAATAATAATTGTAAAGAACTTATTGAATGATATTGATATAGTGCCGATTTTTCAAATATTTTTTTTAATGATTCGCCAATTTTATAGACAAAAAAAGTTCAATGAATCAAAAGTAACAAATGTAAATCTTTGTAGTAATATATTCTTTTACGTTGCTATTTGCTTGTCAGGATTAAATTTGAGTATACTTTTTGACCCTGTGTTTAAACTATGTTTTAGCTGTTTATAACGGAATCAAAAGCGTTTCCACCTCAAATAGGGTTCTTGTTGTATGCCTTCTTCACACATGACCGGATTTTCATATTCAAAAGTACAAACCGCATTCACCTATATGCAACTCTTTTTATACCCCCCCCCCCCCCCCCCCCCCCCCCCCTTTTCCCAAGGCTTTATTCAGTGGATGGTCATAGTAATCGGCGATTCCGTCAGTTTGTCCGTCCTTGCTTCCGAACAGTTGTCGGAATCACCATTTCTGTTCCACAAATGTAGATAAATCTAACACGTATGGTATGGAAGGTCTCTAACAGTTGGAAATCATCAGAGTTGCAGGAAAGCAAATACTAGCAAATTTCTTCATCAGACATGTTTGAAGGAACACACTGAAAGTAATTGGATTGAACAGCACACTAAAACATATCACGTAAGTTGTCGAGATAGTCACATGAAGCAATACATGTAGCATGTACCAGTTGA